GCGAAATGCCGTGCCATATACGATTATGCAGGTGACAGGTAATAAGTTTTTAAAAAAATATTTATCAGCATGAAGCAACGACAATAACGTAATACTTTTTGTTCAGGTTTCGTGAGGCTTGCAGATTTCCTTTAACAAATAATTAACACCCTATGTATGACTTCAGGAATATGTCAGAATTACACAAAAATTATAATTTAAATACCATGAAATTTTACTTAGGTAGTCAGTGTTGCCATTTTTTTCAAAAAATAGCCATTTGGTACACACATTATCTTACTACTATACGTTGCGTTTTTTTCCCAACATCACTTACGTAACTTTTTTGGAGATAGTCTCCCGCAAAATTTGCGTCCTTTATCATGCTTGTGGGGAACTCCCAAGATGCTCTAATCTGTTAAGTCTAGCGCAAGTATCTAATGCACTTTGCTTTTACTTCAACTCTGTTCTGCTTAAAATTGTCTTCCGTTCAATTCGATAATCATCAGGTAGCATCTTTCTTGATACTTTTAATGTACTTTGGCCGAAATAGAGCACACCTCTGCTAAACATGGACAATTATGGAAGAATAAGGGAATGAACTAGCTCGACTGTTAATTGCCACCTCAAGTAAATGCAACATGAGCGCATTCCTTTGGGTTGAGGGCGAAACAGCAATTTGTCAGTATAGATAAAGAATAAGAACGGTTAATCTTCATTCACCTGTAGAATAAGTTTAAATCTTTATTCTAATTTAAACAAATAAATGGCTTAGATGCATATGCTTAAAACAAGTCTAGCAAAACAGGAAGCAATTAATAATAATATAGCAGTCAGAGCAGGAGAGTAGTAGCAGCTTTTATTACTTGGCAGTGGTGGCAAGGATAAAATAGGGTTCTGATGAAAGTAAAAATATATGTGAAAACTGTTCATGTATAAAAATTATAAAGTGAAGATATTAATTGAACAAAGTGTCAACAAGAGATGTGCGAATGAAAGTAGAGGACAATTTAAGGCAACACCAAACCCTTCATGAGACTAAAATTAGACAAAAAAAACATGAATGGAATGAGCAGGAGACTACATTAACAAACCCACTACTTGAGGGGAAAATCCAAACAAACCTATGTTTAGATTCTTGCCTGCTTGTAAATCAAAATCCCCTCCCATGCAGATAAAGCCGTACTTATCACCTTAAACTGTCTGATAGTTAAGTTGGTGCGGTGTGGCTGATTATCAATTTAAAGGTGCACTCAAGCAAGTATATATTGCATAGTGTTCAACATTACTTCTCTAGTTTGTGAGTGTAACGCAAGAGTTATTATTTTTCCATATTTCTATGCTACGATAATACCCCACCATGCTTGCAATATTTTGATACGTTATTCTTAAATATTGCCTCGTTGCTGAATTACCTTCCTTGCAAGGTGCTATCTTTGCGCAGTTAACATCAAGAAGGTTGCTTTTTGACAAGGCTGTGTTTGCTACGACCATTAATTATGACCTGTCTTTTTATTGGTGCACTTGAGCGTATGGCCCTCGCATGTAACGTTACAGGCCAATCGGAAGGAGCGGTTTTGTCCTCCTTCATGAGCCAAATAGTGCATTCGGCTGGAGGGTTGGTGGCAACTGTAGCATTGTGATTGGATGGCTAGTCTTCAGTGGCGTTTACGCTTATGCACATCAGCACTCAAAGGTTAAATAAATTTAAGACATTCCAGGATATTCAATCGTGCATATTAAAGGCCTCTTTTTGTCAAATGTCTTCGTAGAAGCACTCGACAACTTGGCAAACGGAATACTTACAGCTTGCATCACACACAGAAGTCGACACTGACACAGAAAAGTTCCGTTAACGTTGTCTGAGCTGACTTCATTTCGCGTGCTTGCTGCGCGCCCTTGACGAATTGACCTGTGTTGTGGCATTCATTGAGCAGACGTGCCGAAACTGCTCTGAAGGCAGATGAGTGTAGCGCAAAGCTGAGAGTGGCCTTGAAATCATTGACGGCCCATTTCGGTAACGCTGTCTGAGCTGAGTTCCTTTTCCGGAAATTGTTATAAGATTGTCGCCGACTTTTTGCGTGCTTTTAGTAAATTTTCGTATGTTATTGCTTTTTTAAGTAGACTCGCCTAAGCTCAAAATCATGCGACATCCTCGGGTACATGCTTAGAATGGCCTGCGAGTGTAATGAGATCGCAAAGGCCGCCTATGCCTGGTCTTTGTATTAGTTTCACCTTTGTGTTGTCATAGGAATTAGGATGCCTTATGCAATAACATTTAATAATCGTGAATAGCTGCGTTTTGCAGGCATGACACCTCATGATCTCGCAATAAGTCCCTAACTACTAACACTCTGGGGCACATCAGGATCTCTTTCGTTTGCTTACTCCTGCATCTACTTTGATGCAAACATGCATTTTTTTGTTGCAGCAATGGAACCACAAACGTACCTGATTTTGTTCGGGAGTCTAACGGGTAGGAGAATAAACTAGTCTTGTAGGCGCGTCGAAATATACTAGTTAATAAAACAAATCTACCCTTAGTGAAGGCAAAATCGGGCTTTGCTTGCCGTTCTTCTAAACTGACATCCCTTGTGTTTATGTCAATGCATTCTTTTACAGTGATTTTCAAACAGCTATGCAGGTGGTTCCAGTGTGAATGAATACATACACCCAATAATTTGCCTTCCATTTGGTGCTTTTTCACTTTAAGGAGTTAAGGAACAGGTATATGCAGATATGTATTTGAGAAGTAGCAATACCTTTGGCTTCTAGGGGTAACTAGTCTCCGTGCAAAATAGGCAAATGAAAAGTTGATCTGTCAGTTCCCAGAGATTGGTTTGGTATTGCCGACATTCCTGCAGTGTCTGTTGTTTTATTGTAACTCATGCATCAG